GGGGGGGGGGTCCTGCATCTCCTTGTAGGAATAAAATGCATGCTTTGTCACCACCTATGCTTTCTCCTCTGAGCCCAAGACTCAAGGACCACGCTCGAAAATTTCTTGTTCCTATACTGATTCTGACAATATCCATCAGAGCTAACCCTTAGCCAGGTACCCTTCTAAGCAACTGACATAGATCAGCTCATCGAAACCTCACAACAATCCAGTCTTCTCATCCTACAGAGGCGGAAGCTGACGCACAGAAGCATTAAGCAATTTGCCCAAGGTCCTACTGCTGGTGAGGAGTGGAGCCAGTATTTGAACCTGGGGGATCAGACTCCAGGTCCTACAAGAAGTGGAAGGGGGAGGGGAACGGAGAGGAAGAGGGGGAGGGTCTGCTGCCACCCATTACTCAGATGGCCATCCTGGCACTCAGGGCACTAGCTTCTGGATTCAGCTTTGCGACCTTGTCACGTCTCTTTACTAACCTGTCCTTCGTCCCCTCCTCTCCCAGAATCCTTCCGCATCTCAGTGGTCGCAGCAATAACATATTCATCCTTCAGGGCTCACATGCCATCTCCTCTGTGCCTTTCTTGATATGATCCTAGCCTGGCACATAGTAGGTGCTCAAGAAACAGTTGTACCTAAGTGCAAACAGTAGATCCCCCTCCAAAGCCAAATATAATCTTAGCCTCCTTAACTCTGACAGTTCCTTTTCTCTACCCTGACAGTCTTCCTCTTCTACCGCTGGTTATTTATATGCCTATCTTCTTGCTCCGTCTAGATCATAACCCCCTGAGGGTAGGACTTGCACTTGTATCCCTGATCGGTTGATGGGCTCCATTTAGTTATTTTGAAATCCTTTTTAGCTCGGTGCTGTCCACCTGTCTAAGGCTAGTGCCCTCAGCTCACCTCAGGCCATCACATGGCCAATTCACAAGGTGCCACAGGGTTTGCTGCCTTTTATGCCTCTTGCAGACATTCAGTAGATGCCTCACGTTGAAAAATGCGTGCCCTGAGTCTGGGTGCCAAACCATGGCCCCGGAGAGCGGCCAGAACCCGCTCCAGCTACCGTGTGGAGAGTGCCCAGCACTCCAAAATCACCCTCGTTATGGGAGGTCAGTGCCAGAATGCACACTGGGGTCTTTGGCTCCCATCTTTTAATTTTGTGAACCACCCAAAATATGGAAGTACGACTCTGGCTGAGATTCCAAACACCAAGCTTAAACAATCAAGCATTCAGAGCTTGTAGGTTATCAGCACAAGGATCTCAATCAACTCAGGGCAGGGACTCGAAAGACTGTTTGTTCTTCAGTTGGATTCTTCCAACCACTAGAGCTCTTCCTTCTACTTGTCAAAACCCCCTGTCTTGTTCTGCCCTCTGGAGCAGAGGAAGAGGAGGAAGAGGAGGAGGAGGAGGAGGAGGAGGAGGAAAAGGGAGGAGGAGGAGGAGGAAGGAGGAGAAAGAGGAGGAGGAGGAGGAGAAGAAAGAGGAGGAGAAGAAGGATGGAGGAGGTTAAAATTTTATTTATGATGAAAAGATGGCGATGATGATGATAAGTTACTTATTTATTTTATATTATTTATTATGGTTATTTATTATTATTTACGGCATTTATTTATTTATTGGCTTTTGTTTGGCTAAATATTATATTTATTAAAGCTTTTACAATGACATAAACAAAAAAAAAATATTTATTAGATATATTTATAAAACAAAAATTTATTTTATATTTATTTATTATTTATTAAAATGATGATGATGATGATGGCTGGGAAATATGATGCTATTTAAATGACAGTGATGCATAATAAAATGAAACATACATATTTACAAATAAATATTTATTTTATATTTATGTACGATGCATGACATAAATGAGACATTATTCCAAAACAGCATCCAAATCAGCTCATCAACCCGCACAATCGTCCCAAACGCCTCTTATTACAACTCAATCGAACTCAAACGATAAACCCACTACTAAGGACCACTATTATCCATTTTAAAGAGAGGGAAACTGAGGAACAGAGTTGCTGAGTAACTTGCCCAGGCCACAGAGGAGGTGAATGGTGTCACAGAACCAGTTCCAGGCAGCCCAGCTCCAGAGACTCCAGACAAGATATTTCCTCTGCCCTCAAGTACCCAAGGGATCCCAGGGTCCCTGCACCTGACTCTGAATTGCTTCCTTGCCTCAGGACTAAGTATGTCCAGTTTCTCAATTCAAAAGACAGACGGGGTTTGTGACTCCTTGAACTTGACCACATCCTAAACTTGTCTCGATTTTGTTAAAATGAGTTGTTCAGAATGAAACAGAATAACGCTCCAGAAGGGGTTAGATCTACTCTGCACTCCAGGGAGTAACAGCTCCCACGCTCTGGAGTCTTCCTTCTACTGATGTACTTAAAGGTACAGATCCTTTCTTTTTTAGTAGCCAAGATGGTCCTGCAGGCTTAAGCTTTAAGAGCAGAGAATTTAACTTGTTAATCCAGGCTGTCACCTTTAACTTCAATAACGGGGCTAACGGGCTTCATCATGAAAATATTAGTGGTGTCAGGACAGCTCCCCAGCCCAGAATTGTGTTGTGGACTTCTTGGATAAAGTTCCTCCTAAGTCAAAGGGATCATGCATTTTGTAGCTGTTTGCACAGACTGCTCATTTCTGTCAGAGCCTCTCCAGCTGGAATCTCTGAGACGCTGGATTTTCCAAAAAGCACAGAAGCACGCATATTTGGGGAATCCACTGATGCATTTGAAAACTCAGAAGTGTTTCATTCATTTGCCTTCCAGAGTTACAAACAAAACAAAACAAGACAAGACACCCAAGCATGTTAGCCAGGCACAATGAAAATCACTAGCCGCCGCTCAGAGTGGATCGTATAGCGAACAAAGTCAACAACTTAAGTTATACCAACCCTGAAAATATCTTAATTGGAAGATGTGGGGTGGATTTCTCATGGCATTCCTGTCTGAAATTTCTTGGTAATTTCACAGCTCGTCATACCAATGATGAAGTTACATTTGGGCTTAGGATGGCCTCGCTGTTTCTGCACATAACCCACCCAGAACAGCAAAGGTACAAAAAGTCAAGACATTAGGAATGTGACAGGAAGGAAGGGATTAATTAGCCAGAAGGTACTTGTCGATCTGATTTTAAATATAGTCCAGGGCTCAGGGATACAGGAAAGGTGGAATCTCTTCTTCATTGTTAATCTCAGTTTTAATTTCAACCTGGTCACGCGGCTGACACGAGGAGACTCAAGTCCAAGGGGGTGGGTGTCACACTCACAATTACCTGTTGATATATTCCCAAAACACAACAATTACAACAGTCAGAGACACAACCAGCATTGACAGAATCACTTTTCCTTTGACATTCATTATTTTCTCCTGGGGAGGAAAAAAAAAATAAGGAGAAAAGGAAAAAGAAACAAATAAACACAAAGTGAGGCATGGTTTTCTAAGAAAGGCTGCCACCTTCAGAGAGGAAAAGCTCATAAATATTTAGCTAGCACAAGGAGTGCCACATAGCTCAATGGCAAAGTAGTAATTCAATGAGTTGGCAGGGCCGCCCGGGTGGGAAGGGGCTTAGGTCACTCTGGCTGAGAGGAAGGTATTGCAACTGATCCCGGTCCGCCATGGATGTGGGTGGGTGAGGGTGGC